ACATTTTAGACCATGATACGCCCTGGTCCAAAATTGTTCAAAATGTTCAAATTTGTTAAAACGGCCTACAGAGTCCATCTTTAGTAATTTTCCGAGTAATTTTAGTATGAGAAAGGCGATGAACCATACTGCAAGTGCGTACATCATACCAGTTAGGCCCCAGAAGACGCCATCCTGGAAAATAGGGGCCTAACTAACTTTATATAGCACTGTCACTGGCACCACGACCTCTGACCGGGCGGGAGGAGTAGTGCACAGTGGGTGGATACACCTCGCACTAGAAACTTATGAACCTTTTTAATTATAGCTTACCTTACTGTGTTCTGTAAACATGCTTCGTTTGCGTATTTTTAAATACGCCAGTAATTTCTTCATAGCAGCGTATTCAACAATGCCCAAGCCGAGCTTGTATACAGACCTAGTAAGTTACGAATGGGCATTTTTTTAAATAAAAAATCAGCATATCCGATGTTGGGCACGTATTTAGTACTTTCTCACTCTCCGTCTGCGACTTTTATCTACACTCTAGGGTAATTAATCGTTTAAAAAGTTGACTTTTAATGGTGTAGGACGTTAAGAGGTGATGAAACCCGGAAAAAACTCACATCGACAAGAGGATGCGTAGGGGTGGTTCTCTAGGAGCTTTCACAACAATTCAGGCTGTTTTTACCTTGTCGAACTTTTCACCCCTATAATCCGAAATCTTCCGAAAACTTTCAATTTGTTTCAACCTTGAGCGCGCTAGAGGATGCTGGCGGTAACGTGGGTAGGTGGCAAACTTCACCTTACAGGATCGTCAACAACACACTTTAGAGCTCTCTGCCCCAAACTTCACCTTTCTAGCTCAGCTAGCTACATACATCCACTGTACTCTCGCACACCTTTACTACCTTAAGGTTTTTACGCAGCAGGAATACTGGCTAATTTGTTACGTATTCTGTATATTGTTTTGAGGAACTCACAGATAAAAGAAAAAGATTGTCAGTAATGTAAAAAGAAATTATTTTGTATTACTGATGAAAACAGTTGTCAGTAGATGTAAAGGTTTTTACGCAGCAAGAATACTATGAAGGGGGTAAATCAGTTACAGGATGAGAGTGTGGTCATCTGACATATGTCAGATCACCAGAATCTCCCTTATTAAACAAACCATATTACAGACCGCTTATTTTTGCGGAATACTTACACTCCTTCTCATTATTTTTTTACCTTTTGTCAGTATTACTGTTGCTTAAAAACCTTTATAAGATACTGTACTGAATTTTTGTCAGCAAGACAAAATAAGTCCTTTTTGCATAAATGACAATTTCTTTCGTCAGAAAGTTGCTGACAAAAATAATCTAAATAAGTAACATTGTAGTCAGTAGTCCCACTGCGTCAAAACATTGATGTTTAATAAGCAGTAAATCAGCACAGGTCTGAGAGTGTTTATTACCTATATTTGGCTGCTTACAGAACTAAGAAGGGTAAGCTACAATTAAAAATGTTCATAAGTTTCTAGTGCAAGGTGTATCCCCACCCAGTGTGCACTACTCCTCCCGCCTGGTCGGAGGTCGTAGTGTCAGTGACGCTGCTATACGAAAGTTAGTTAGGCCCCTGTTTTCCAGGATGGCGTCTTCTGGGGCCTGACTGGTATGATGTACGCACTTGCAGTATGGTTCATCGCCTTTCTCATACTAAAATTAATCGGAAAATTACTAAAGATGGACTCTGTAGGCCGTTTTAACAAATTTGAACATTTTGAACAATTTTGGACCAGGGCGTATCATGGTCTAAAATGTCCTTGGTAGAC